ACCATTAAAATTAAGTGACTCTAAAGGAGAGGAGAGAAAATATCCCTCGGAAGTTACATTTTCATTATTATTTTGAGGGAGTTCAAGACTATTTCTAAATCTGTATTTGACATGATATAATTACAGCTTACAGCTATGATCTCATTTCCATTGATTTACTTTGGGATTCTATACCGATGCATGCTTCTAATAATACAAGGAAGATAGTAAAGTCAAATTATTTTAAATAAGGATCAAGGAAATAATCTCTTTTTAAATGAAATAAGCTCTTGGTGCTATTGAACAAGACCACCTGACTTGAAGTCTACTAGACTTGAAGTTATCCAAGATTATTTGAATGAGAACAGGAATCAAAAGATGCCACTAGCCATTTGTGTGACATTAGAAAACCAATGTTTGGGATGCCTGTGTGGCTCAGTCGCTTAAGCATCTGCCTTCGGCCCAGGTCATGATCCCAGGATCCTGGGATCGAGCCCTGCATTGGGCTCCCTGCTCAGTGGGGAGCCTGCTTCTCCTGTCTGCCACTCCCCCTGCTTGTTCTCTCTCTCTCTCTGACAAATAAATAAAATAAATTAAAAAAAAAAAAAAAGAGGGCGCCTGGGTGGCTCAGTTGGTTGGGCGACTGCCTTCGGCTCAGGTCATGATCCTGGAGTCCCGGGATCGAGTCCCGCATCGGGCTCCCTGCTCGGCGGGGAGTCTGCTTCTCCCTCTGACCCTCCTCCCTCTCATGTGCTCTCTCTTTCTCATTCTCTCTCTCAAATAAATAAATAAAATCTTTAAAAAAAAAAAAGAAAACCAATGTTTATTGGTATATCAGTTTATAGAATGATGGACATGGGGTCAGATAAGGTCTTATCTGACATTATTTTTTTCTTTTTCAAAGTGAAATCCTTTCTTCAAATGAAATTGAATCAGTAGCTCAACATTTAGAATATGTAATACTGTAACTGCCCTGGTTGGATTAGGGGTGGGACCTCAGAGCCTTAGCTTTCTGCCCCCTCCTGCACTTCAGGTGGTGCCCTTGTCTTGATGACAGTCTCAGAGCTCCATGAGACTGAAGCCACAAGTAGATAATCACTTAGGTTCTGTAGGATTTGAAATTAGACTTATTTTTTGTTTTTGTTTTTGCTTTAGATTTTCTCAGCAGCTCATCAATAAATAGAAATTAAATCTCCACTAGATGGCAGTAGGTCAAATCTTTGTTCTAAAAGTTTCAGTCGACAATCTTGGGTTCAATACTTAAGCACATTTGGATTACTTACAAAACTTTCAGAAGAATTCTGTTTTCTCATATTCCATACTTTAAAATACTTTACTAGCCTCTTAATTTATTCTCACTTTCCATCCTCTTTTTAAGCCATTGTGGATTTACTGGTTAGTCCTAACAGTATGATGTCTGGTAAAATATTACTTGCTCTGGTTGTGGGAATTGTTTAAGAATTGGATAATATTCAAATGAATACATTTATCTAAGCATCTAAATTTATTAGTAATACCCACTTGATTTTCTAGCTTTATTAGAAGCCTAATCTTTAACCCAAAGGTGATGGTGACCTGGTTCCTCATCTTTCTTACCCTATCACCTACCCATTTCCAGAGCACTGAAATTCCAGTGATCATGGCAGTCTGCTTTGTGTTGCATATTAACGTTGCAAGGAAGAGATGCTTTTAGGTAATATTAGGTGATGGAAGTTCATGGTAAGGATAACCAGGGAAGCGAGGTAAATCAGGAGACTGCTTCAGTACTTCCAAGTTTGAGTATATAGCAGCCTCATGGAGGGACGAAACAGCTCCTTTCTTCAGGATTCAGCAGGTTTCCAGGGCCAACAGCTCTGGTAACTTCCTGGCAACACTGAGCCCTTGGAAGCTAGCCCCTGTTTGTCTTTTTTGGCATGACTTATTTACACTTTCAAGAGAGAAGAACTGGTTGAGTCGATTTGTTATAATGTTACATAGATCATCCTTTATGGGCAGTCTCAGACTACATTTCCATAAAGCTGGTTGGATCCCTTTGGAGGCAGTTTATGCCTAAAAAGGTCAAGGGAAAAGATCAAAGTTTTTGCCTGTTTCCAGGTGAAATTAATAATAGGTCCCCATTTTACTCTAGAATTTTCCTAATTAGGATGATAAATTACATTATTACCTGAATACATAGTCATCTTTGCCTTGAGCACTAATTTCTGCTCTTCAGGCCAAGGTCATGTGGCACAAGATTAGCTAATTGGAAAAGTATTGCCTGAAGTCACTTTCTCAGGAAAAAGTTGTGGGGCGCAGACATTTAGAGTTGTATGGACTGCCAATTATGTAGTCCTTAGAATAAAGAAAAAAGAATTTAAAGAAAAAAGCTAACTTTAAATTCAAGTTCCTACCTTATTAGTTCAATTTTATCCACTAGATACAGTCTTTCTTTAATGCATTGTGGAAAAGAGAATATGATTTTCATTAATAAGGATATTGTAAAGCTAGAAAAGAATTTAAATGGCTTTCCTGTATTACATTATAAATATTAGAGAAAATTCCAAAATTAGAGCTCCAAAGATGGTTCGCTCACAATTTCTTATGCATAAATGGTAGATAGAGTCTTTTAATTATCATTCAATAATGATTCACATCACTACTTAAATGTATGGGAAGTAGTTATCTTTCCATCCAAGTCATTACCCAAAATTCTCTCAAATAATCATATCTTTAGATCTTTAAATACTCTTTTCTCCACATTAGTCCTCTATTATTTTAATTGAATGCAGTTAATATAGCAAATCATAGATTGTAAAACCTTTTTTCTTTTACCCTCAGAACAGGTTGATAATGAGCAAATATTAAGTGACTGTTTGAAATGTTTCCCCCAAAGAGATTGAGTAGTACTGTTTTTCAAAATGTAAAGGTTTTTGTTTTGTTTTGTTTTAGAGTGAACGGTGATGAGCTTTTTGCCCACCTCTAAGTAGAATACTCGAAAGAAAGATTTAATTATAATTTGAGGCATTTTGTTTAGAATAATTTCATGAATCCTGCTATCAGGGTGTGCTCTTAAAGACATTTGTGCAAAGCCTTTCCTCTGCAAATCATTTATTTCACTTACGGTATTTTGGACAGCATCCTGCTGAGTTGGGGGGCAGTGAACATTACGGCCGCACTACTTTGAATAGAGAAAGCATAGGAAGAGCCCCTCATTTGGTTGAAAATCTCCTATGGCTCTGTGAAGGTCACACTTCTGTTTACCAAATCCCATTTCATTTTTCTCCTCTGGAGTACAAAGAAAGTGGGGATTTCTTAGCTCTAGAAATTGGGTGGCATCCTATAATAGTTCTGGCTAATGAATGTGATCAGAAGTCATCGAGTCTTATACGCAAACTGAATCATGAAACACCACATCAAAAAAATATTTTATACTAAAAAAATAATAATCATGAAGATCAATATTCATTATAAAGAAAAATGCCCATGAGTTGTATTGAGGTGGCAGAGCCCCAAGGCTGAAATAACCAGGATTCCCAAGACTCTGCTTATAAAGGAGCTATACTGAAATGAAATAGAAAGAAAATATTCTGAGTACTAAGTGAAGAGGAAATATTTTCTGCCATAAGTCACTGATATTTCAGGGCTCATTTGCTCCCATAGTGTAATCTGGCCCTTCTTGACTAATATAGAGGAAATATGACATTGAGTTTTATAATTTAATTTAACTTTCTGACTTAGTTTAGTCCTTGCCATACGTCAGATGCTCTCCAGCAAGTCCTGAGTGAGATAGGTTATTGTTTAAAAGTAGAAAAGACTTGAAATTAGTCTATTATACAAATAATTTTTAATTTGACTAAAATTTGGAAAATTTCCAGAACCTATAGAATTATTTTAGCCACCAAATATAATCTGTAGGAATTTTTATAAGAAGAGAAGGAAAAATCTGTAATATTTTACAGTTTGTGGTTTAAAAGATCAATATAGAATTTTATAGTTCTCAGTTTTTATTTTTAAAGTACCAGTGTTGTGTAACTAGAAAACCAATTAAGTTTCTATGACACATGAGCTCTTTCAGCCTAAGAACATAAAAGCGTTCACCTTATAGAAATGGCTGTTATATCCTGGTTTGCTTCGGGCAGTCTCCGTTTTTGCACATTGTCTGGTCATTTATAATAGCATTCCCTTTCATTCAAAGATTGGGTGGAATTGAACAATACATTGTATCATATGACCATGGGGCCAGACTGATCGGTGAGAGTTTGGAAGACATGTATTGTATATAGCTAGATTTCCTTTCTCAGTTCTGGGGAATATATCACCGCATGAAAATAACATTATATGGAGATGTTAGATGCCCAGGCCAGCCCACAAAAGATTTTAAAATCCAAAACTGAGCTACACGGTAGTGATTAGTAGATGTAAAATTAAAATTTATAGGTTTTTGTGGATTGGCGCAGGTTCCTAATCATCATGTATATAAAATATTACATCAAATGGAAAATGTGGTCTAGTTTCCAGTTACCAAGGAATTTTAGAAATAGTTCCTTTTTCATTTGGGCATAAACAGTGGTTTTTAAATGTAGCTTTTGTTATTAGTAATATTAATTTTTTATTTTTTATTTGGAAATTTGAAGATACCAAAAGTAGGTAATAGCATATTAAACCACCATGTAGCTATTACCTTAATCCAAGCAACTATCTGCCAATGGTCAGTTCCATCCTATCCATACTTCCATCTAATTTTTTCCTCCCATATTATTTTGATGTAAATCCAGACATCCTATTATTTCATCCTTACACATTTTAGCATTAATCTCCAAATGAAAAGTATGCTTTGGTAAATGTACTATTATGTTCTTTCCATATAATAATGTATGTTTAACAAAAACTTGTCAAAATAAGTTTGGGTGGAAGTTTAACATGCTGGCATTTAGCCACATTAAATGGATACTATCTCTTGGAATAACAGTCTCCCCATTTCACCTTTATCAGAACAAATTACCTTTAAACATTCCAAAAGTAAACTCTAAATTTCCCTTTAGACAATTTAGAAGTATATGTACACACTCCAATCCAGAGATCAAGGAGCCGTGAAGATATGTTCTGCAGCTGTCTCCCTTTGAAGTTCTTTGCTCTGACACTTCAGATAACAATATAACTCCGGTTTCCAGAGAACGAACAGCCTGCTCTTCAAAGAAGAGGTGAATATCTTACGTTGACAGGTTAACTTCAAGAAAGGTAATCCTAATAAATAGAACTTGTGGAGCCAGTGTTAGGACTAAAAAAATGCTTTTTATTGGCTTGTTTGTTGAGACTAGGGAGAAGCAAGCATGTTAAACGAAACTTATTTTCTTTGTGCAAAAGTCATTCCTGTATGATCTTTTAATATACTTTGCAGGATTTGTAGGAAAGGAGAAGGATTCCCTTTCTGTTTCATACTTCAGAAGGTAATTAAATCACATCTCTGATTTGATTAGGAAGAGAAAGCCAAATGAATTTTTTTTTTAAATCATCGAATATGTAATTAAAGAAAAAAAGGGAGAGAATTGATTTCTTTGGTACAGATTTATATTTAGTAAAATTGGAGAAATTAGGCAGGTTGCAACAGTTTGTTTATATATTGTACCAATTTCCTTGAATTCATATATATGTTTTGTTCATATTAAATGATATAATTAAGAAGATAGATCTAGTGCTGCTTATTTGTGGGGGCCATCAGAAATAGGGTTTCTCTTAATGGGATTGTTGGTTGTTTGTTTTTTTTTTTATTGTATCAGTGATATGTAGTTGTCATTTAATTTAATTTAAGCATTTGATTTAGATTCCAATGTAGATATAAACAGCATATTAAAAGGAATAGTCATGTTTCTGCCATTTAATAGAGTGGTATATATATAGATACATATCTACCATATAACCTTAATTTCCTAGTTATGTAATGATATTTATAACATTTAACCTGTAAAGATACTATAAGGGTTAAATGGGATCATTTATGTATAAACATTATTTATGATTTTTTAAAAAAAATCAGCTTTATTTTTGTGTGTGTATAATAAAATACTAAAATTTTATGTGTACAGGTTGCTGTTTTGAAAAATCCATACAGTCATAAAACCATCACCATAGTCATGATAGAGAACATTTCCTTCACCTCCAAAAGTTCCCTTGTGTTCCTTTGTAGCCAGCAGCCTCCACTCATCTTCACTTCTTTCAACCATTGATTTACATTCTGTATTACAGTTTTGCATTTTCTGGAATTTCATATAAATGGAATCATACAGTATATAGTAATTTATATCTGGCTTTTAAAACTCAACATAGTGCTTTTGAGACCATCCACATCATTGAGGGTACCAATAGTTCATTCCTAATTATTGTCAGGCTGTATTCTATATTAAATGAATATACCATCATTTGATTGACATTTGGATTATTTCCAGTTTGGGGCAATTAAAAATAAAGCTTCTGTGAATATTCAAGTACAAGTCTTTGTGTGGATATAGTTTTTATTTGTCATAGGTAAATGTAAATGTATTGAAATGGCATTGCTGGGTTGTATGGTAAATACATCATTAACTTTTTTTTTTTTAAGATTTTATTTATTTATTTGAGACAGAGAGAATGAGAGAGAGAGAGCACATGGTGGGGGGGAGGGTCAGAGGGAGAAGCAGGCTCCCTGCCGAGCAGGGAGCCCGATGTGGGACTCGATCCAGGGACTCCAGGATCATGACCTGAGCCGAAGGCAGTCGCTTAACCAACTGAGCCACCCAGGCGCCCCATCATTAACTTTTTAAGTAACCCATTTCCCTTCATGTGTTTTAGAGTTCTATTGTCAGGCTATTCATATTTAGGCTTTTTTATATGTGCTGATGAATTGATCCCTTTATCAATATGAATGCCATTCTTTAAATAACATTCCTTATCATAAACTCTATTCTGTCTGATATAAATACAGACACCCTAGCTTTAAAAATTTTGTTTGGTTGGCATGTTTATTTTAATCATTTTACTTTTAAACTATGTGTATCTTATATTTAAAGTAGGTTTCTTCTAGACAATATCATAATTGGGTCTTGCTTTTTGATTCTATCTCACAATCCCTGTTTTTGCCTTACTTTTTTTTAAAGATTTATTTATTATTTTAGAGAGAGAAAGAGAGAGAGAGAGAGCACCACCTGGGTGCCTCTGTTTTTTCATTACTTTTAATTAAAGTGTTCAGAAAATTTACAATTAATATAATTTTGGTATAGTTGGATTTACATCTATAATGTTGCTATTTTTTCTACTTGTCCCATCTGTTTTTTTGTTCCTTTATTTCCTTTTGCTCTCCTTCTTTTAGGTTGAGTAATTTTTAAAAATTATTTTTATTTTCACTATTGGCTTTATTTCTGTTTTAATTGTTATTGGTTGCCCTAGAGTTTATAATATACATCTTTACCTTACAATTTCAATTAATATTATATCAGTTCATGCACATAGGAAGAACCTTGTAATAATACACTTCTATTCTCTAACAGTGTACTTCTGTTCCCCAGTATTCTCTTCCTTTGTACTATTTGTGTGGAACATTTTATTTCTCTGTATGCTATAAACAACACAATATATTTTCAAAGCATTAAATTACTTTTTATGATAAAAATGTTTATATTTACCCACTTCATTGCCATTTCCATTGATTTTCATTCCTTTGTGCAGACACAGATTTTTTTTTTTTTTTTTTTTTTCTGGTATGATTGTCTTTCTGCCTAGAGGACATCCTTTGACATTTCACCACAGTTCTGTTAGTGATTAATTCCCTCTGGGATTGTTTCTCTAAAAGAGTCTTAAGTTTACCTCCATTTTGAGCACACTTCCTCTGGGTAAAGAATTACAGGTAGAAATTCTTTTTCCCATTCAGAACTTTAAATATTTCTCTCTATTGTGTTTGGTTGAAATAGTTTTTTAGCAGAAGTCTGCCGTAATTCTTATCTTTATTCCTCTGTATGTTATGTGTATTTATTCTATGGCTGCTTTTAAGATTTTCACTTTATTGGTGATTTTCAGTGATGTGATTTTGTTACACTGTGTTTTTCTTTACTTTTATTCCACTTGAGATTTGTTGAGGTTTCAGAATCTATGATTTGATGAATTTTATCAAATTCAGAAAAATTTGGCCTTTATTTCTTCAAACTATATTTTCTGTTCCCTCTGTCTCTTCTCCTTCTGGGACTACAGTTACATATAAGGTAGACTGCATGGGGCACCTGGGTGGCTCAGTCGTTAGGCACCTGCCTTCAGCTCAGGTCATGATTCCAGGGTCCTGGGATCGAGTCCTGCATTGGGCTCCCTGCTCAGCGGGAAGCCTGCTTCTCCCTCTCCCACTCCCCCAGCTTGTGTTCCCTCTCTTGCTGTGTCTCTCTGTCAAATAAATAAATAAAATCTTAAAAAAATAAGGTAGACTACATCACATTTTCTCACAGGTCACTTCTCTATTCATTGACTTTTAAAAAAAATATTTATTTATTTTGAGAGAGAATTCATTATATGGAGAGAGAGAACGTGCGCACACGTGTGCATGTGCAAGTAAGCGGAGGGGCAGGGGCACTGGGAGAGGGAGAGAGAGAATCCCTAGCTGACTCTCCATTGAACTTGGAGCTTGACATAGGGCTTGACACAAGGCTTAATCTCAGGACCTTGAGATCATGACCCTGAGATCATGACCTGGGCCAAAATCAGGAATCCCATGCTCAACCAACTGAGTCACTCAGGTGTCCCTTCAATGACTTTTTAAAAAGTCTTTTTCCTCTCTGTGCTTCACTTTGTATAGTCTCCATTGCTATGTCTTCAAATTCACTGACTTTTTTCTTCTGTGGCGTATAATATGCTGTTAATTATACCCAGTGAATTTTCATTTCAGATATAGTATTTTCCATCTCTGGAAGTCTCATTCATGTCTTTTAAAAATCTTTTCCATTTCTCTTGTTATAAGGCTTCTATTTTCCTTTCCTTTTCTTTCCTTTCCTTTCCTATCCTTTCCTTTCCTTTCATTTCCTTTCTTTCCTTTCCTTTCCTTTTCTTTCTTTTTTCTTTCTTTCTTTCTTTCTTTC